AACCAATGAAATGATACATAATTTTACTCATTTTGCAAGGGCTTGGGGGGCCGTTTGGGCGCGTCTTTAGGACCTCTTGGGGGGCTCTTGGGGGCCTCTTGGAGGGCTCTTGGGGGCCTCTTAGGTGCCTCTTGGGAGCCTTTCGGGGATGGCGCACGCTTGTGCATGTCGATTTGCTTTTCGATCTGCATTTCGATCTGCATTTCGATTTGCATTTCACTATCGGTCTCACGATCGATCCCACGATCGATCTCACTATCGACTTTACTATCGATCTCACTCGATCGACCTCACTATCGGTTTTATTTCATCGATTGTACTGTTGATCTTACTTTTGATTGTGTGTCGATCCCACTATCGCTCTCACTATCAATATCACTATCGATCTCACTATCGATGTCACTCCATCGATCTCACTATCGATCTCACTATCGATCTCTCTATTGATCTCACTCGATCGATCTCAATATCGATCTTACTCAATCGATCTCACCATAGATCCCACTATCGCTCTCACTATCGATCCCACAATCGATCTCACCATCGATCCCACTCGATCGCTCGCACTATCGATCTCACTACCGATTTCACAATCGATCTCACAATCGATCTCACTATCGGTCTCACTATTGTTTTCGCACCAGCGGGACACATGGAAACCAGCGGGACACCGGCAGGACACCGGCGGGACACCGCGCGGCCCCGTTTGCTGGTCGGGAAACATTTGGTCCGGCCGCGCCTCAGCCATAGGAGACTTACCGGGACACCAGCGGGACACCGGCGGGACACCGCACGGCCCCGTTTGCCGGGGGGGGAGCATTTGGTCCAGCCGCGCCTCAGCCACAGGAGACTTTCCGCTCGCCCGCCCACGCAGCTTCGCCTCGCCCGCACGCACAGCACGCACGAACACGAAACCGAAACCGATTTCCCGGTGGCGGGCTCTCCGTTCCACTTCGATCTCACCCCCCAACCTCCGATACCTATACCAGCATACATACATACGTACACATGTATATACATTGTTTCTTGGTAGTTTCCGTTGTAAGCGTCTCAGCCTGTGGCGACTGAGCGTTCCCGGGCGGTTCCCCCTCAGAGCGCCCAGATGCGATGCCTGCTACATGGGGAGGGCATCGGGGCTCCGAGGGGAGCGGAGCAGGTATTGGGACGTGGGGGCCTGGGACCGTCCTGGGGCGATCTCGTGGGCCTCTTTGGCCGTTGTGGGGCATTGGAAGCCCCAGAAGGCGAGCGCGCTAAAGCGTGATGAAATCTTCCAAACGCAAAGCAAGCACCGTGTTTGATTGTTAGGGCCCCCTTGTGGGCTCTCCGGTGACCCCCTTGGGGGCTCTTCGGGCTGCCTGGAGGTCATCGCGCGCGTCTCGGAGCGCTCTTGTGCAGTCTCGATACTGGGGGCCTCTTAGTCACCACCCACCAAACCACCCCAACCCAACCCGAAGGCCCAATTTTTCCTCGATTTCCAGGGGGGGGTCGGGGAAAATTGAAATAACACATGGAACCCGTACCCCCCCAAACCCGAAATTCGAGTCAAATTCGGGTCTTCGGGTTGGGTTGGGGTGGTCTGGTAGGTAGTCACTTAGGGGCCCTCGTGGCTCGTCTTCCGACCCTGTGGTCTCAGGCCAAGTCATGCGGGAAACCCCGGGTGCTTTGCGGGGACTCTTCACAAGTCTCGCGAGCACCCTCTGGGAGCATGTCGATCCACAGCGTCAAGGATTCTAGAGGACCTAAGGACACTTCACTTCGTGCTCAGCGGCGCGGTGGCGGATTAATCAGAAGCACAAGAGGAGGAGGAGGAGGAGGAGGAGGAAGAGGCGGAGCAGCAGGAGGAGGAGGAGGAGAGGATGAGCAGACGGAGGAGGAGGCGGGGGAGAGGGACTGAGAGGAGATGAAAGAAGGAGGAGGAGGAGGTTGAGAGGGAAGTAAAATGAGGCCCCTCGCGAGAGGTAGGCCCCAATCGAAGCACAACAAAATACATGAACCTAATTTCTTTGAGTTCTGAATCTTTATGATATGCCGTTTTTTGTTCCTGGAAATGTGCATCAGCCGATTCGCCTCTCTACCTCCCCAACGGGGCAGGCTGGTTTTGGGGGGTTCCTCGCTGTCGCGGTCGCGCGCGGCTCGAAAAGTATGTCGCGATGCTTGCCAGGAGGGGTCCGGGGAAAGATTTCAGGGCAAGGGATTCCGACCGGGAGGGGACACCCATAAGTATGCTTGTATGGGGCGTGTGCGAACAGATAGGGCTGGCGCAGCATGCTCGGCAACTTTACACGTGTGGCAGCGCCGCCCTTCTGTTTCGATGCCTTACTTTGATGTTATCTTTGTACGGTCGGGAGCCAAGAACTCCATCCGACCAATTTGTATCTGTTGCAACAGCGGCCTGAGGTGGCGCTTCTGAAAGAAGCGCTCCTGTAAGCTTTAGGAGTAGCCTCCGACACGATGCCATGCGTTCGGGTGCGCGAGGTAAACCAGTTGCAGTGCCGCCCGAATCCGCTGCCATGCTGGGGCGGGCTGGAGGGGTGCGGGTCTGGGGTGGGCGCATGGCGGGTAGGTGCCACGGGACGTTCTGGCTGGATTTCTTGATTTTGGTACCTCTTTCTGGGTGGAACGCAGACGCTTGGGGACTCGGGCAACGACGTATGGCGGGATGGTGATGCTGATGTTGATGCTCAATTCCACATGTCGGGGGAGCGGGGAGGGGATGATGGGGGTGAGGAAGTTGATGACGACGATGGTGATACTGATGATGCTGATGATGATGGTGATGGTGATGGTGATGATGATTTTGATGATGGTGCTTGTGATGGTGACGTTGACGGTGACGGTGATGGTGATGGTGATGGTGATCGTGAATGTGGTGGTGATGATGGTGTTGATGATGATGATGATGGGGATGATAATGACGATGGTGATGTTGATGATGTTTATGATATTGATGACGACGGAAATGATGATGATGATGTTGTTGATGTTGATTCGGATGAGGATGATAATGAGGATGTTGCTGGGGATGAGGATGCTGATGAGGATGCTGGTGATGATGATGTTGATGATGATGCTGATGCTGCTGCTGTTGATGCTGATGCTGCTGCTGCTGCTGGTGATGGCGACTGTGATGGTGATGGTGATGGTGACGAGGCTGATTAGGAGGATAATGTTGATGATAATAATGGTAAGAATGAGAATAACGATGATGACAGTCACTATGATGATGTTGCTGGCATTGATGAGGATAAGGATGCTGCTGACGCTGATGCTGGTGCTGATGATCCTACTCATGGTGATGCTGATGATGATGTTGTTGCTGATATGGTGATGGTGGTGGCGATACCGCGGTCTGCACGCCAATTTGTATCCGTTTCACCAGCGGCATGAGGAGGTGGCGTTTCTGAAAGAAGCGCTCCTGTAAGCTTGTAGGAGTCGCCCCCGACGCGATGGCATGCGTTCGGGTGCGCGAGGTGTTCCAGTTGCAGTGCCGCCCGAATCCGCCACTCCGCCGCCATGCTGGGGCGGGCGCCCCTGGGAGGGGGCGGGCTGGAACGGGAGCGGGTCTGAGGATGGGCGCATGGAGGGCAGGTGCCACGGCACGTTCTGCCTGGATTTCCGGGTGGTACCATTTTCTGGGTGGAACGCAGACGCTTGGGGATTCGGGCAACGACGTATGAGGGCCCCTAGTTGCCGTGCGTCGCAAGGGGGCAAACTCATGGGGAACATGCCCGACACGCATGAACCGTCGCATGCGCGGTGGCGGAATACCAGGGCAACGTCATCAACAGTAGTGCCACATGTTCCCATGTCCACATGTGGGGGGAGCGGGGAGGGGATGATGAGGGTGAGGATGGTGGTGACGACGATGATGGTGATACTGATGCTGATGATGATGATGATGATGATGATGATGATGATGATGATGATGGTGGTGATGATGATGGTGGACATGGTCATGGTCATGGTGATGATGATTGTGACAGTACAGGTGATGGTGATGGTAATGGTGATCACGATGGTGGTGGTGGTGGTGGTGATGATGATGGAGAGGGTACTGATGGTGCTGCTGATGATGACGACGGTGATGCAGATGGTAATGGTGATGTTGATGTCGATTAGGATGAGGATGAGGATGATGTTGGGGATGAGGATGCTGATGATGATGCTGTTGATGACGATGTTGATGGTGATGCTGATGCTGATGCTGCTGTTGATGCGGATGCTGATGCTGCTGATGCTGATGGTGATGGCGACGGTGATGGTGATGGCGATGGTGATGCGGATGATTCGGAGGATGATGATGATAATAATGGTAAGAATGAGAATAACGATGATGACAGTCACTATGATGATGTTGCTGGCATCGATGAGGATAAGGATGATGCTGACGCTGATGCTGGTGCTGATGATCATACTCATGGTGATGATGAGGATGATGATGCTGAGGATGATGGTAATGATGATGTTGATGATGATGCTGATGCTGCTGCTGATGCTGATGCTCATGCTGCTGATGGTGATAGTGATGATGGTGGTTAGGATGACAACGATGATGAAAACAATAATGAGAATGCATGATACTATTGATGAAGAAAGTAGGTATGATGATGTTGCCGACGTTGATGAGGATGAGGATGAGGATGGCGCTGATGCTGATGCTGATGCGGATGCTCATACTGATGGTGATGATGACGATGTTGATGCTGACGCTGATGATGATGATGATGATGATGCTGATGATGATGCTGATGATGGTGATGCTGATGGTGTTGGTGGTATTGCCTACCCGTTTTACCGCGGTCTGCACGCCATGCCGCGGCGTTTGCGGACCTTGGTACGGTGGCCTTCACGAGAAAAAGCGCACTAGACCACGCAGTGCCCCTTAACTCATTTCTGTAAGCTTCCCCCGCATCCTCCCTCCCTCCCTCCTCCTCCTCGTCCTCATCCTCCTGAGTCCTCCCTCACCCCTCGGACCCTCCCCCCCTTCCTCCTTCCTCCTCCCCTGCTCCGTTTACTAAGCGCGCTGGCTCAGGTGCCTGAGCCTGACTTCCCGAGGCCGGCGTCACGATTTGTTGTGCTCGCTTGAGGACCCCATCACCAGGGGTCAACGCGGGTTTTTCCTTCTGTCACGCTCGCCTTCAATTCCTGCATGAAACCTGATGGCGCACGCTCGCGGGTGCAAGCGCAACTTCGCCAGCTGGCGGAGGTACAAGCATTGTCACAGCAGCCCTTCCGACACCCCTCGAGCTCGCCATCGCTAGAAGCCAAGGGCGCATGTGCCTGGGGCCCCCCCTCGTCCCCAGGACGGCTGAGCAATCAGCAGCAGAGGGACGGTTGGTCGTCTTGGGACCCCAAGGGCCAAAGCGATCCTCCTCATCAGAGTGTTGTTTTTCCTGCTCGTGCCGTTCCCTTGTTTTCAAGGGCCAGGACTACCAGGGGCTAAGCTCACCTCTGGCGCAACCAACGCCACCGTTGAGCATGTGGCCCAGACGATCGACCTGTTGCACAAGATCGGCGACACTGACGGAGCAAAGCAACACCAGCACATCCTCAACCCTCCCCCAAGTCCACCCCTCTCCAGCAGCGAATCGGTCAAGCCGTTCACATCGCTGGTACATTTGAAGACAAGTAGGCCAACGCAGTTCATGACCATCAGAAGTTACAGCAGCAGTTGTCGGATCAGCACGAGTGGGTGTCACCGTGACTTTAGTAGTTGGATGAGGCCGAGAAGGAACACACCCGTCTGGTTCGCGTTTTTGTTCTGAATCGCGTGCCGGACCTGTCGAGCCCAAGCCTGCCATCGAGAACTTTTTTACTGCATAAGTTCGGGTAGAGTTCCAGGTGTACCTATACATATCGGATTCTCCGGAGGCGTCGACGCCTCTCAGTACGAGCCGGATGAAGCTACGCAAAAGGGTTTAGGGTTTAGGGTTTAGGGTCTAACAGGCTTGGCCAGGAGTACAACGTGCCCACGAACCCACCTGCGGTGGCCGTCAATCCCACCCGCAAGCCACCCCACCATAAAGATCATCTCTCCTCTCCTTGTAACAACATCGGTGCACACGAACACGACCGCGCGCGGCGAGGTGGTCCAGGAGATGGAGCCGGTGTACATGAGGGGGTCGCAGCTTGTATTGCAAAATCAGGGGATTCTGCACGCATGCTCAGGATGGAACATGCGCAGGATCAGGAAATGCTATTTTTTGCAGTAGATGGAGCCGGTTTACATAACGGGGTCGCAACGGGGGCCGCCCATTTTGTGCTTTTAAAAATATGAGATTCTGCACGCATGCGCAGGAAATTCTATTTTTTGCATAGGATGGAGGCGGATCGCGACGGGGATTGGGCACTTTGTGCTCTAAAAAATGAGAGATTCTGCACGCATGCTCAGGAAGTGATTTTTTTTGCAGAAGATGGAGCCGGTTTGCATAACGTTCGGTTTTAGGTTATTCAGGGTTTCATAATTATAGGATTAAGAATTTGGGTTGAGGGTCTTGGAAGCAGAGAATTGGCACATTTGCAGACTCGGATTCGCGAGCCGATCAAGACGTTGTTCGGTCGGGCTCCGGAGGCAGCGAAACGGGCTAAGGATGCCGACGCCAACATGTTTTCCCGCCTCGCCAAGAGAAGAATCCTACAGGGGCCCTTCCGGGCCCCTTTTGAGCACCAGCTGCCTCCCAAAGGGGCCCTGAAGTTCCCTCGAGGACCCCCTTTCTTCACCCCCCCTGCGGGTCACCTCCCATGATTGTGGATGCCACGACAATGGACACACTAACAGGGTCCACTTCGACCCGATCGATCCCCGATTCGATGCCGATTCTTGCCGGCCCGATCCGACTCGGTTTCGACTTCCCACCGACCCGACACGACCCGACGGTGACACGGCGCTGTTGTGCATCCCGGCGCAGCCGATCCGATTCGATGTCGATTCCGCGCCGATGCGGTCCGATGCGACGCCGTCTTCCGATCGATCCGATCTTCCGATTCGACGCTGTCTGTCCGTGCCAATTCGATCCGATCTTCCGGTTCGATGCTGTCTGATCCTGCCAGTTCCCGCCCCGCCGGCAGATGCAGCAGGCAGCAGCGGTGCGCGCGCCGGTGCTGCGGAGGGCCGTCGACGGAGCCTGCGCACCAGCGGACGGCACGGCCAGGCCATCCCGGAGTCCGATGCTCCGCCCGGCGCCCTCGCACACTGCCGCCGCGACTGTTACCGGTAAGGCGTCTAGTTGGGCTATCCTTACGTCGGGCCTGTCCCCTTACAGGGGGATTTGGGGCGAAAGATCACAAATACTAGGAAAGACTCCCCAAATGCCCAAGAATACTCCAGAAATAGTCCCCAGAGTATTTTTTGACTATGTTTGATTCTCCCTCCTGTAGAGGGACAGGCCCGACTTAAGGCTATCCGCGAGGCAACTGCCAAGATTTTGCAGTCACAAGCGCCCCCCCGCCCCTCAGGCGAGGCTGGCGCCATCGCCCGAATGAGGGGAGATCTCATTCCAA